AAATCCCAAGATTTATAAGGATCTGACCTAACTGTATTCCTATAAAATTGGGATCTTTGGTAATTAGGTTTTGGGTTTTTGTATAATAGATTTAAAAACAATTTATATATATATCGGTATTCCAAAACCAAATAAGGGACTAGGGTTGTCTTTTTTGTCACACATGGACATAATGAACAAAAGAATGAAGAACCAACCACGTACGTAGCAACTGGTTAGGTCACAAGATGCCTTGAAGAACAGATTTCCCTTCAAACTTGTCAACCTTGGAACTCAGAAACGCCAAGTTCTTGTCGAGACGAGCTTTTCTCATATCAAGATTCCCCAACTTCCCAGCCATCTCCGTCATTCTTTCTCTCCATTCCTTCATCTTCTTCTCTTTCTCTCTAAGCCCATTCCCCTGTTTCTCCATTTCTTGTCTGGCCAGCAACACATCCCTCTCCCACACCTCTTTCTCCATCATTCTCATTTCGTGTTTATCGTAGTGTTTAACGGCCTCTACGATCTCTTCCAACACGGGTTTGAGCCAATCTGCTTTGATTTTCACGGACTCAACGTCTCTAACAATCGCTAGCATTTCCACCGCGCGGGTTTCCTTGAGATGTTTTAAAGGCGTTGTTTGGAGTTCGAAAACCACCGAGGCAAGCATGTCCAGGTAGTAGGATCGCGTCGTAAGAGATTGTAGTTTAGAACCGGATGCAATGTTGCCGTGCTTGTCGAGGATGAGCTGAAGAGTAGCCGAGAAGCTCGCTCTGACTTTGTAGTCTCCCACGGAAACGTAAGACTCAGATAGAATGGACTGTATCTCGTCCTTTGTTTCATTCTTCTTGATTATTCCTTTCATTTTGGAGATTTCTATGAGACTGAAGCTCTGTGATTCATCTGGTAGCTCCGGAGGCTCGTTGTTTTGCTTATCTTGTTCTTCTTGTTGGCAATGCGATTTACGGTTTTTGTGATGAACAGGCTGCAACAGACGAGAAGAACATATGTGTCAATACCAGCTCTTTGGTGACCTTTAGAATCAACAAGGATGCCATGGGACAAAGGATAATATATACATACCGTGTTGCTTCCAGATTTCGGTGTGATTTCAGGGAAAAGCCAAATAGAGTCATCGTCGTGCTCATCCACAAATGAAAATTTATCGTCATCTGAGCTCGCAGACTCGTCAAGTTGATCAAAATGTTCTTCCTGTTTGGTGGGTGTTTCATATCCGCGGCGACTAGGCTGGGTAAGAGGCCAAAACTGTCATAAGAATGTGAAGAAATATGAAAATGTGAAAGTAGAGGGTAGAGAGTAAGTACCGTAATGGGTCTAGAGAGTGGCTTTTCTTGAGGTGACAAAATAACTTCTGGATAGATTAGCACTGATTCATCGTCGTTCTCAATGTAGATCGACTCAGCTATGCTCCCAAGATAATTGTAAGCCTGAGATGATCTTTGATCCATCTCAAAGCAAGTTTGTTGAGTTTGTGAAATCTTTTCCCTGAGATCAGGTGATCTTCCTCTATAAGCTGCAGTCTTTGGCTGACTTTCAGGTATTCTTGGCCTTGTTTCCACGGTCCTGGGCTGGTGTTCCGGCGTCCTAGGCCTAGTTTCAACTGTCCGAGGCGTTTGAAGAGCAGCATTGTCAAGGGATCTGTGGGATATGGGCTGAGTTTGAAAAATCCTAGGGCTGGGTTCAGGCGTCTTGGACCGCTGTTTTGGAGCCCTTGAAAATGGTTCAAAGTAGGTAGGTTGAGGCTCTGGAGTCTTGGACCTTGGCTCTGTGGATCTTGCCATGAACTCTGGTGACCTCCCCCAATGTTGTGCAGTCCTCGGCCTAGTTTCTGGTGTTTGAGGCCTCCTTCCTGCAACAGACTCATGTATGGGTGTCCTTGGCCTAGTATCATAGGTGTTGGATCCGCGTTCAGGAGTCCTCGGCCTAGTTTCACGAGTTTGGGGTCTCCTTTCTGTTGCAACAGACTCATGTATAGGTGTCCTCGGCCTAGTATCATAGGTGCTGGATCCACGTTCAGGAGTCCTTGGCTTAGTTTCTAGTGAAATAGGATCCTCTTGTTGTGCCAACGGCTTAATATTAGAGCGGTGTTGGGGTGTGCGAGGCCTATGTTGAGGAGACCTAAGTGGGTGTTCAGGCGTCTTAGGCCGGATTCCAAACGCCCTTGGTGATATATCATCATCCTCGCCTCCACGCTGATCAGTCTGCAGGAATAACAGCATAAGAGTGAGTCTCAAGCGAACATAAGAGAGAGGTAAGCTATTCTTGGTAAGAATTACTCTTACCCTCCTTGCAAAAAAGTCTCCCCCTGAATATCCAGCCAGAGAAGGCGACATGGGGAGCGAGTCCACGTTGTTTGCAGGCTCGTTCTTGGGTTGGGACGAGCGTCCTTGTAACGGGGAAAGACGACTGAAGAAGTTACCATTGGTGTAATCATGGGAAGGTGAATTTTCTGACTCAACCTTCTTCTTGGTAAAATAGCTGGCTAGAGGCGATCTGCTTCCACGAGCGGGAGCTGGACTGCCAGGAGGAGTGTCCCTACTTGGAGTTCTCTTACCAAACCCTGACACAGAACATATGTTGAAAGATTCTTGATTATGAGAGCTTTGTCTCAATTAATAACAAGGGAAGAACAATCATCTCTAACAAGAATATTCATACCAAATAGGGTTTTCTCCTTCTTGTGAACATCTTTAGAGTTTAATCTCTCGAAACATAGAACAGTACACTCATGGAAAGGATTGCTTGCGTTGGAGCAACCTTGAACTACTTTTCCAGACGCTAATTCCATCTCATAAACTTAAGCAACTCTATGAGATCTTCAATAAATGAAACCAGACATACAAAAACTAGTCAGATTTTTTGAAAGAAGTAAGTTGGTGTAATTAGGACACAGATTGGAGTCAAACATGAGATAGTAGTACTAATCAGATCGATTGTGATGTTGATCAATTGAGAAAAATCTCACCATCAC